AAATAAGAACATCAAAATATGAGTTGTTGGCCAACATTTCAGGCTGCAGGCCAATAACTAGTGCGCTTATCTCAACCACAGAGCCAAAACCCCACCACTATCTGTCACTGATATGGCTTATTGGACAAGCTGAGTCATTTTCTTCCATGTTAAGAACTCCCTGTTTTGTAGCTACCCCTTAAATATCAGAAGGGTGTTAGGATTCTTTATGCATACTATTTTTAAAGCAGAAGTCCATGCTCCGGTTCATGACACAGTTAGCCTGCTCTTTCTCCAGTTAAATCTACTGCAAGCATTTGATTGAAATAAGTATGAACAAAAGAGGATCAGCAGTGATGAACTCCACGGCCACAAACCTGTTTGATTTAGTACACAGAACACTCATCCTGTACAGCTTGGGCTAAACAGAGCACTGATCTCAGTTACATTTTCCTAAATGTCAGCAATCCACGTTGCTTTTCCATCATAAAGTTAGTAGGAGACATATGCCATGCACTCCAAATGAAAGTCTGAAACTAAAAATAAAACTCTTTTTATTTTTTTTTCCCCCAGCATATGCAAAATTAATTTTGACATTAGGGACCTACCCAGCTAATTAAACTGGGATTCCTGTCTGCTTGCCATGGAAGCAAGATACAGTGTTTTACATCTAATTCGCTTTCTTTTTGTTTTAATGCATTAAAACATATATTGAAGTTCATACTTTTAAGACCTGTAGATAATTAGAATATGTAAACAATAGGAGGATTTATTATTAAAGAAATAACAGAATGTGATACTGAAAAGTGGATCAGAGAAACACACTGCACCAATTTGATATAATCCTCAAAGCATATTGCACCTTCCCATTTTTCTTCCTGAAGTTTATGAACAACTGAGGAGAATAGTTTTAACTAATAAAATGGCAAATATTAATGTAAGTGGCAATAGGAAATGATTTTCTTGAAAATTCAGTTTCTACTATATGATCTAATTATTGTTGCATTTGTTCAATTCTACGAAGTTCTAAGCAGAAATAAATTAATACAAAAATAGTTTGTTCAGTGTTGAAGTTACTGTATTCTAAGGTCCAAGCCTTGTCTATAGGTTGAGGACACCTAGTGAGAGACTTCAGTCACTTGGCTTGCTCATTGCCACCAGCACCCCAAACTCCAGAACATCACCACAAAGATAACCGGTACTTTCTGATATTCCGTGTTCTCTATTTACACTATTTGTCTCAGTTGATCTCCTCTTCCATGCTTATGCACCTTCATTTTCAAAACCCCTAGGAGCTCACCAAAAGAATACAAGATTTTTTTTTTTTCTTCAACGGTGAATAAACTAATATTGCACCTAATAATTCAGTATCTGCTTGAGTCATTTTGAGAAGACTTGCTTGTAACTTTCCCCCTAGACAGAGTAAAAAATAAAACATTCTAAATCTATCGTTTCCTAAAAGCATGTTGTAATTTGTTCTGTCTCTCATTTTCAACACCTTAAGCTTTATTTTGAAGCTTTCTTTAAAAATAACAAAAAATACAACTTAATACAGACTTTCTAATACAAACTCTTCTTAAAGTAGAAAATGGCCTAGATTTCAGAAGAAAGTGGGGTTTTAAAGAGTAAGTCATAATAAAATGCTTTAAGCAATAAGAAACTGGTAGCTGTGCTTAAAAGGAGCAATCTGCTCATCTATCCAGTGCAGGGCAAAAAGTTAACTTAATGTTTGATTTGGGAATGCTGAGGTCAGATAGAATTTTGTTCTAGGTTTCAGCAGAAGCCAGTTTTCACTAGTCTGTGTGCAGGACAATATAGACTTGATTTTCAGAACAGCCGAATGTCATTGAATTGAAATAAATTTGGAGCTTGGGGTGCTTAGCATCTTTGAAAAACAGGTTTGTGGTGCTCCAAAATTTTAGAAAATGATTAATTTCACTAACACCATATGAAGCTGCCTCATGTATTAGATAAGTATGCACTGATGCGTCATCAGGTTTCAGGTGTAGGGTATGTGACATCAGGCATTTATGAAAAACAGAGGTATGTATTTATCCCTTGTATTTCAGTCTCACCCAGCTTAAACCTTGGAAAAAAGGTCAGCACCCCAAGAGATATCATGGTAGAGGAACTATCGACACTCAGCAACAGAGGGGCAAGACTCTTCAAGAGACGTCAGCGGAGATCTGACAAATACACGTACGAAAATTATCATTATGTAACAAACAAGCCAAGAAACGTGAGTATTTGTAATAACTTATTAATGAAACACAGTGAGACTAGCCTGGGGTTCCCTTGGTGCTCATGATACATTATGTACCTGATTTATTTGTAGCTTCAGGAAGAATAAGAGTAAAATATTGTACTAGAACAATGTTAATATGAAGTGAGCTATTTGTATCTATTGGGCTCCTGTAGAAAAATAAAAATAAAAAATCTGAAGACCTTAATACTTCAGGACATCAGATTCAAATAATTTTCATGCAAATTCAGATTCAGGTTACTAGTGACTGGAGTTCTTGTCCTACAATAATGGGCACATTGACTACTGAAAGTTAACTAGTTAATGATATTCAAAAGGTTGGAAGAAGTAACAGTCTGTTTTACACGTCCAGGAAGTATTCCTATTAAAATAGGGTGGTGGTCTCAACATAGTTGCCAGGCAGCTATGTGACTCTCTCAAATGACAGAAATTTTTGAGACTTCTTGCCTTCCATGTCTCAGCAAGGGGACAAACGATGAAGCTTGTCACTGAAAGACAATTATTCTCTGAACTAGGCCCTCAGGAACTGGGTTAAAGCATTAGTGATACCCTGGGAATCCTCATGGGAGGAACTAAATGCACCTGATGTATGTCTCATTTATTGCCTTTGTGAAATACTTAAACCTTTTTGTTTGATCTCTGCAAAGAGGGAGAAAAACATTCATAAATTTTGTCTGATTCTCCAATGTAATAATGGTTTATTCATTTAACAATGAATACTGTATGCCCAGTCTAATAAAGTATGCAAGCAGCCCCTCTACTTCCATTGTAATTTCACGTCTTTATTGTTTTAAATCCCACATATGTGATGCTATGATTATATTAGCATCCGAACCCTAGAGAATCCATAGAAAGACTTTGAATTCTTTAATCAAAACCTTCACTTGGAATAAAAAAGATAGTGACTATATGTAATGTATTGTTGTGATAAAACCTAAAGTTTGTATTGGTACAAACAGGAAATGAATAATTGATGAACCAAACAGTAAAACATCAATGGCTTTGCTCAAACTACGTTCAGTTTTATTAATGAAAACACACACACACACACACTTGCAATTAAATAAGAAACAATAAAATGAATGCAGTTTTTTTGAGTCTATTGAATTATTTTTTGTTTTACGGCATCTCATAAGGAGATTTTGGGAGCAGAACGTAAGATGCATTTGTAATTTACTACTGTCTTGCTAATCCAAATGCTGAAGGATCTCTCTACTTCTTCCCTGGAATTTCCCCCAAAAACACATGCATACTGCACAGTCATTATGACATTCTGACATGGGAAGAAATGATGCCTCTTTGGTTTCTGTTCCCCTCCCTTAAACGCCTATTTAGCCACCACTGGTGATATCTTCACCAATGTTATGATTCTGGCTGCCAAAATTAATATTTCTAACATATTTTAGGATGGCTCCAAAACATACTGCCTTGATATATTTTGTTTGCTTGTATGTTTCAGGTTAAAACAAGTATAGTTTCTTTGCTTTCCTTCTTTAAGAAACTCATACTCTGGAACTGTCTATATTTAAATTACTTTTAGCCTATGTGTCATAGCTAAAATAAGATACTGACTTCTTATAAGACTCCCATCTATATTTATGCAACAATGATTAAGCCTTTAGATGTTTCCTTAGAACTGACGACCCAATAGGAGGGTGGAAAATAACAGCATATCGTTAATCGCCAGAAAGTGGCCTGCACTGAAGTTGTTATTTCTATTATAAATACAGGAAAAGAAAAGCCCAAACAAAAGCAATTCAACAAATACAGTGCATTTTCAACCTATATAGGAAGAGAAGCTTTGATGAATCAGTGATTTGAAACTCATATGCCTTAAACCTGCCGGATTTCTTGAATCTTTGGGCAGCAAGGGGGCCCTGTCTGGCACATCACAACTTCTAGCATCTGTGATCCATGGGCCCCCCTGCCAAAGTGACCAGCTTTACTCTTTGCTGTGAACTATACAGCCCACAGGCACAGGTAGATATAGTGGTGACTGGTATGAGCAGCAGATGGGATGAAATCTCTTCTTAGACTACCTATTAATATTCAAATATCCCCAAATTTGGAAACAGTCAGAAAACTTAATTGGATGGTAATGAAGTTTCAGGAGTCTTGTTCTAGCTCCCAACACCCCCAGTCCTTTGAATAAATCCATCACAATCACACACTTGAAATACAGACATTTAAAATTGTGCTGTGATAACATTATTAACACTGATAAATTATTCTTTTGCTTACATAGCCATTGTAAGAGAGTTGTGAAACTGTTGCTGTCTAGCAAAAAGGGTACCTAACAGCAGGACAGTGTACCTTTGGATAATATACCCTAGGTCTCAGATCTGGCCTGTAAGCTGAAGTAATATTCCATCCCTCAACAGAGAATCAGAGGGACTCATTTTTTGCCTGTGCTATCAATGATATTTATTTCTGTTTGAATGCAGCGTGGAGAGCCCATGCAGGGTGTTAAAATGGATGGCCTCAGTGTTGAAGGAATTCCCCAGCATGCCCCAATGACACCTCCTAACACACCTGATCCCCGAAGCCCACCACATCCAGACAACATTGCCCCAGGTAATAGATGAATTTATAGACATGGAATGCATTTATTACCCATCTCACAGCAGACGAAGGAGCTCTTTATAAAACAATGTCATTAACAATAATTTATTAATGGAGTTACTATTAGAAATACATAAATTGAGTCAGATAACTAATCATAATCACCCATGGAAATTTAAACCAGTTGCTTCTGTTCGTTCTTAACAATTTGATATGTCCATTGTACTACCTTTCCCTCAACTGAAGGCATGCATTATTTTCCAGTGAGACTGCTCATATATTTATTGATCTTATAAACATTGAGAAACAGATCTTCAGATTTAAAACCAGATTAATATACTGACTTTTCAATGCCCTAGTTTCTAAGATACAACACACTGCTTAACAGTCTGAAAGTTATCCATTGTAGTTTAATTACCTGTAAATGGACATCTGAAGTCATTGCAAGTTTTGCTGGAACCCTTTACAGATAAGTAACTTAAAGAGGAATTTGCCCCTGGCTGTATACACTGTTCTGCTTTATTTAAGTCCTTAACTGTGAGGGTACTGTTGTCTTTATTTAAAGCAGTGAGCTACAGGAAGGCCTTATTTTGTATTCTTTGAAGACTAGAGAAGGCTAATTTGTTTTAATTAATTTATTCAGTGATATAGCCCTTCTTCCTGTTTATGAATTATCCATGAGCAGACTGTGGTTTTTACAAATTCATTCTTTGTTCAGAATTACTCAATGCATGTTTTGTGCAGACCTTTTCCAGTCTATGTAAACTAGGTCAATGCTACTCTGTTAGTGACAGCTAAGGCTCTCTGCATCCATGGGCCAAATACAATGCAAATTGAGGTAATTTCCATTGCTAAAACATGATACAAATCTTAAAGTTTTCTTTAGGCAAGAAATATTTATTTTTGGTGAAAGGAGTATTTATTAAACCACAGGGTGCTTTTTTTTTTTTTTTTTTTTTTTTAAGCTTACAAAAGGCAACAGCATTAATTTAAAGAGCTAGATGTCATGTGAGGGTAAACAGGAAAACAGATTTCCCTTGTTTTTCAAATAAATACTATAAACTCATATATTAGAATAATCCCTTGCTGGTTCTAATTCTTCAGCTGATTCTAATTCTTCAAATTGCACAGTAAGGTCTGGGCTTTTTTCCCCTTATGTTTATTTGTGCCATATCGTATTTGGCTTTAGAAGAAATAACACTGAATAAGGAATTCACTTGTTTAGTAAAATTCTGATCAGAGCCTGATCCTCAGATGATTATAGAGAGGGGAAAATAAAAGCAAAAAGAAAAGAAAACAAACAAACAAACAAACAAAAAGATGAAAATGATCAAAGAGCCATGTAAGTATGACATTTTAAAGCATCAAATGGAGGCAAAAAATCTGATAGAATGGCTGGGACCTTAACTCCTTTTAATGCTTTTGGGAAATCTCATCCAAAAACTATAGAGTTATCTTACTTTTAACCAAAAGGCTGTTTTTAACATTTAATTGTTAATTCAGCCCAAGGTCTGTGTAGATGTGCTCCTTTTTCAAACAGATGCTTATAATGATAGAAACAAACTTAAATAAAACTAAAATAAACTTACCCTCAAAAGAAGAGTAGAATACTTCAGACCAGTTATCTAAAAGGCTACAAATACCTCCTGTGAGCTTTCTGGTATTGTGTTGCTTTGGTTAACTCACTTGATTCAATTGTTCACTTTAACTAACTGTGAAATAATGGTATATTACTTCCTATTTACATAGGATGATGGTAAGGAAACAGAAAAATCAATATACTGTTATACTGGTTTACCTGGATCTCCTTGCAGGATATTCTGGACCACTAAAAGAAATTCCTCCTGAAAAGTTCAACACTACTTCTGTGCCAAAGTATTATCAGTCTCCTTGGATAGAAGCCATTAGGGATGATCCAGAGCTGCTAGAGGCTTTATATCCTAAACTTTTTAAACCTGAAGCAAAGCCAGAACTGCCCGACTACAGGAGCTTTAACAGGTAATTTTGAGTGAACACTGGCTTTTATGGAGCAGTGAAAAATTACTCTGAAATGAAATGTATCCACTGGCTGTAAAAAGACCCATCACCTGTTTTTGCAAGTATACCCGTAAGCATGAACAAACAGATTACAGGCAGCAAACAAGAGCTTTAAGAAGGTAAATAGTTCATCTCAAAGTGTGGACCCAAAATTAAATTATAGAACCAAGAATGTAAGATTAATTAATGAAAATATTGAATGAAAGAGTGAAAGAACAAAACAACCACAGAAATAGAAGTATCAGAATCCAGTGTACTGAATAAATGTGAAAAATGGGATATAGCAATGCCTACACTATTTCTGTTGACTTTGGCAAGTATGGGATCATGACCTCATAAGACCTATCAGGGAAACTCTCAGTAAACACTTGGCTTGTAAACACTGTAATGCAAACCACATATATTTTTCCTTTCTATTTTTTAATTTTATTTATTTACTTATTTATTTTGCAACTCACACTCTACGGGCTTATATTTTTAGGCAATGATACTACAATGAAATCTATCCCTCTTCCAATCCCTCAGACCAGTCAGTTAGCAGCTTGCTTTTTTTTACCATATTTAACTTTTTTTGTATCTTCAGTAACCTTTGGTAACAAATCAACAGATGGAACATTACAAGCAGGCTTGAGAAAACATTTGAAATAAAAGGGGATCTGAGACTGAAGTTATTTGCATAGTAGGTAGCATACTGAATACTGAGGCTTTCAGTGGAACTTCTTTATATATTGACAATACTGAGTTTGGAAATACTTTGAAAGTTTTAAAACACATTCTTACTTAAGTCCTTTGCTTTAATTCATGGCATTCACAGTATCTTTGTATATCAAAGTCATGGACAATTTTTCACTAAATGATCCCTGGTAAGCTACTGACACCTGAGACAAACCAAAACCTCTTTGTCAAAACACCAAATAGATGGCAAATTAATAATAATAAATAAATAAAATTTTTAAAAAAGGCATGGCAATATAAACACCACAAACATCACTTGCATTCCTGCCATAGAGGCAGGCCTCAACTATGAACTCAAGGAGAAAATACTCCACAATGCAGCATCAAAATTGGCACTGCTGACACTACATTAATTTTTACATCTTAACAGCAATACACATCACAAGTGTGTAGCACAATCTTGTCAGCAAACAAAATAACAATACAAATCAGAGAGATGAGCCACAGCTGCCAATGTTGGAACAGTAGCTGCACAGTTTATGTAATATAGGTTATTGTAACTGGAAAAAAAAAAAAAAAAAAAAAAAGCCAAACATACATGTATATATATAGAAACAGAGCCAGAATCAGCAGTCCCTCACACAAATGAGATTTTGAGTCCAGCATACAAGTCATCACTGTTGAACGACAGAATCAGACAGGGCACAGAAGCTCCATTAATAGAGATATGTGTCTTGAGACAGTATCTCATGGCTTCTTTGTGAATTTCTAGCTGCTTTGTTGTCCCATAATCTGTTAGTTGTCCTCTATACAACACTAACTGTTCAGATTTCTTTCTGTGAAGACTTGCTCTGTGTATGATATAGCAGAACCATAGTTCACCACAGTCCAAATTTGTTGAACATTCATGCATTCATGTAAGGGAAAGGTCAATATTCATCCTTGGAACTGCCATAAAAAAAATAAAACCTGGCATGTAATTCTAGATCCAGATTATGAAACTGGTAAATTGAAAATGCAGGAGATATAATCCATGATATTTAAATAAAGCAACCACTCTCCTCACTGGAAAAAAAAAATCTGCATCCACGTCAAAATAAAAAGATACCCGGTGAACCTAAAAAAGCTGTTTGATACATACAAGGCACTCAGACTTATGTTTTATAGCAAGAAAAACTAGATCCAAAAGAAATTAAGAACTTGCAAAATTGCAATTCAAGATGCTAGCCTATTGGAGACGATCTCAGAGCCATGAGTTATGTGTCTATACTCCTAAAAATGCATAGGAGAGTGGGATGACTGGTTATGGGATTCAATACAGCCAGCACACGGTACCTATCAAGCTAGCCAAAAGAAAATGTTACAGAGAATGCTTCAAGTGATTTAAATTCCTCTTTGTCAAGGCCATCAGCACCTAATTATTGCTGACTATCTTCAAGTCAGGGCTAGATTAGGGGCTTCCTTTCCAAAAAAAAAAGAGCAGAGGTCACATGTATTCTTTAAAAATGCATACTCAGCAATAAGGTTAATTTCTTTGGAAAGAGCATTTTCCTAGGATGTGGCCAGCCTGGGTTTATTTCTAAAGGAATGTCAGACCCTGAGAAGTATAACAACATGGCTCCAGGCTCTTCCAAGGAAGAGGTGGGAACATTTTTCACTTCCCTTGTTAAGACTTGTACCACTATACAGAAAATAGTAAACTTATTTGGGCCAGGGGAACATCTTTTTTTTCTCCAGCTGAACAATCCTTTTTCTCTAGCTGAACAATTAAGTAGCTCATGTGGAGAAAGAGAAACCAGGGTCTATATCTGAGTTCCCAGATCTTTTCATGTACTTTAGTTATTCCTTACAGTAAAGGAAATAAATATTTAGAAGCAGAAAACAAGACCTACACCTCTCTGCTATTAGTTGTTCAGCCTGATATCTAGGCTAAGATTCATACTCTGTCTAATCCACTTAAACTTGTATTTTTGGGCAGCATTTGTGCTTCAATATGAAGGGCTTCATCCCCTCTGGAATACTCTATGTGAGCAGTTAGGTCCATTCTTACAAAGACATCTCTTGCAAAACAGCTCTGGTCACATTCATGCTATTATTTGACAGGGATTCGACAGTACTAGCCATGGTTGTAGAATGAAAATGCTTTTACTGAAAGCTTGCTGCAGTAGTATACTGTGTGTGTTTTCAGGAGTGGAAGTTCAAGCAAGATTTTATTAATTAGAGAATCACAGATGAGTTTTGGTATAAGATAGGTGCAGCTGCCAATACAGCTAAGTAAGATCTGAGCATTTGCAGAAGGAAAACTTTCAGGCACCTCAGGAACTTAGCAGCCTATGGGTTTTGGGCATAGAGTGATGTATCTCTTGGACTTTTATGTCTGTATCATAATAAGCTATTCTGTGCATCTAGGTCACAGCATCCTTGATTTCTTTAATTGCAGTCTTGGAGAGAAAGCAAAAAAATGTGATATAATGATGCCTTTTTTTCTTTTTATCAGTGAGGGTATCAATCAAGGCTTTCTATCATGATTCATCATTCAACAAAGTGCCATTATGTCTCTTCTCCTGCAAAACACTAGTACAGTCATCGTTAGTCAGAACGGGGTGTGGCTAACAGTAAGTGTGATGCATAGGACTTCCCAAAGGAAACGGGCCTCAGATTCTACACAGTTCATTCATTTGTATCTGTTAAAATGGCACGTGGACTTTCCTAGACATATTCAGGTTCCTTTCAGTTTTCTTTGCTCCAGGACAAACTAGCAACATGACTTTAGCAGCTAGGGACCTCAGCTGTGTCTGAACAGCCTCACACAAACATGGCTTAAAAGTTTACTCAGTACTCAAGAGCACTCAGTTTTTGTTGTTGTTGTTGTTTGTTTGTTTTTCTCCACTGCCAGCAACATGGCAGCTCTGGACCAAGTACCAATACTTTTTTTTTTTTTTTAATCATTGGCTTTAACAGTAGCAGAATCAGAACTATGGAATTCACAGAATTATTAGTTGAGGTCTAGTAGGCATTTTACACTGCAGAGATCTTGCAATTCTGGCAGGTCAATGAAGGAAGAAGCATTGGAAGCAAACAATAAACACATTTGCCTTCTGAGGCAGGGCTTTCTGTAAGACAACCAGTAATGGATGAATTGCAGATAGTAGTAGGCAGGGTACATGATCAGAGAAACTGGGTTCAGAGGGTTTCTGTAACAGACTCTTCAGACAAGGCTACCCTTTCTCTCCTAGATGACAATGAATCTGCTAGCAGATAAATGCTGCAGAACAGAGACATGTCATCTGATTTCTCTTTTTAGTTTATTTCTTACTAGAAAATTAACATTTGCTGAGAAGTTTGTAATACCAGTTCATTTAGTACCTTTATTCCATCTGCTTTCCTGAAGCTGGATAAAATGTCAAAGGTAGGATTATGAATGACACACAAAGCACTACGTCTTGCTCACATAAGACAAGCAAGTCTGACTGGTTCTGCCTCTCCTACCAGAAGAATTATTGCTCAGCTTTCTCAATTCCCAAAGACTACTGTTTCAAAAACACTACAGGAATCTGGTCCATCTGGACTGGGCTCTGCTTGTATTGATTAATGGATTCTGAACTCTGTTGTAAAAATGCTGAGAACCAGATCCTCAAAGGAATTTTGGGAGCCTAACTCCAAATGATGTGAGAGATTAGTGGAAACTCAGTGCTTAGCCAGTTCCTTAGAATCTTTGTGAAATTGGCACTAAATCTTGCATTAAGCTACCCTGAAGCTCTGAGTATTTCACAGGGTCAAATTCCCTGTTGCTGTGTCTTCTTTTTGCACAGAATTAACAATAAGAAGAATGTTCAGAGAATGACAGTCCCATTTTTAACAGTGAAACTCACATTTTTCATAAGGTGATGCAGTAGAAGGTGTTAATCTGATACAGTTAAAACATTGCTTCAAACTTTCAAAATCAACAACTAGTGTCCTATGCTGAGACAATTCAATGTTCAATGAGACAGACTGAGAACAAAAAGAAGAAGCCCTACTAAGTCAACAGTGAAAAATAAACATGGTTATGTCTCATAATATTAAATCACACATCTACTTTTTAGGAATATGCGAAGTAATTACTAAACATCTTATATTTCCTTGTGCCACTTCCTATGGCTCTGAACCAGCATTTCCGTCCTTACTATGAGCAGTGACTACTGGAATTTTTACACGAGTTTTAGGCTTCTATACAATGAATCAGAGGTCAAGTGATACAATTGATGTCCACACAACAGAGGTCATTATGACAGCACGTTGTCAGACGAGTTATTGCTCACAAAAATATACTGCTGCTATAAAGGAAAATTAACATCTAGTAGCCAATTACTATACTCTCCTTTATGTTGATTACCATGTGCTTCTGCCTAGCATGCAAGAATGGCCTCTCTGAGGCCAGATTTTATATAGGAACAACATGATTATTTTTTTTTCCCCACAAAATACATTTAAATTTCTCTAAAACACTCTTGTTTCTGTTACCAACAGAAAATTTCTGCACTTAAAAGCAAAAGGTACTACAAGAAGGAATTTTAACACTATAGAATTGTTTGGAATTTTATACAGCTATTACTGTTCCATTCATCTTGATATTCCTTTGATTTACATATTGATGAGAATTAAATATTACGACAATGTGGGACTGTGTATCTTAATTAGAGCAGCAATTAAAACAATCTTTATTATCCTGTAATGCAGATCACTACATTCACTCTGTGCCAATTACCAAGCAATTATTTTTAATCAGTATCATACAGTATCCAATTTGGCACTGTGACCTAGAAGACAAGAAAAGCTTGATACCACAGGCACTTTATACAAAGAACTCACTTTTGACCTCAAGAGAGTTAAATGCCTGGACTGATTACTACTGCAAAATCATATCGTCAATTGAGAAAGAGTTTTAGAGCTTAATTCAAATCTGTCCTCTTCTCTCCCTAAATATGCATGCCCAGAAATTTCATGATTTTTGTATCTTGCAAGACTGACCTTTGGAATTGTCCACTAGTACTTTTGCCAAAATCTGCATGTGAATCTGAATCAGTGAATCATTTGTGTAATGACAGAGAAATGCCATTTCTTTTAGGTCACAGATTCATTTTTTCTGGATTAATCTCTTTATTTTTGTGCGCTTAATTCAAAAAAGGTTTTATCCATAGTTACCTTGTTGAAAATTCTAGTCAGATCTAGTCAGATCTTCAATTTTTCTCGTTTAGTTTCTGTTGGTAATTATTTCTCTGGGCTTCTACTATAATACCTGGAGCCACTAGGAATATATACCAGCAGATCTGTTTGGTACCAAACACACAAAACCTACAAGGGCTAGAGGAAATCTGTTTTAAAAAAAATCATTTTCACATGCCACTATATATGTATCTTTGCAGAAATCAGTGTTGCTGTGTAATTTTAAAATCTTAAATCTCTTAACTGGACAGACGATATCCCAACAAAGTTATGCAGCTAATCAAAATGCAAAGCACAAGTCTGTTTGCTTATAAAAAGGATTCTGGAAAAAGTGAGAGACCTCTCCTTCCCCCCTCATCCCCTCAATTTTTTACAGCCTAGAAATCTGAAAATAAAAAAAAATAAAAAAAAAAAAAAAAAATGAAGGGAGGTATTTTTTAATACTATTGCTTAAAAATATCTGCAAATGCATGTAGCAGTTAGTTCCTGCTTAGTACTTCTTATCTTTTAGTTTCTCAGACTTACCATCTGAGGGAACACGTACTTTTAAATAACATGAAAAATACTGGCTGCAAATTAGGGCCAATTTCAGCAAGTGTTTCAAGGTTTAGTTACATAAACATTTTCTTCAGGAACAAAGCTAGAGTAAGAAGTCCTCACCCATTCCCCTCCTTTCCATGGCTGTTGTCTTTGGCTGTTCCTTTCTGCTTCACATTACACTTCATTGCCTCCTCACTTGTATTGTTACAATTGTTTCAACATAATGATAAAAAACAGATTGCTGCAATAATTCTCCTCTGAAGTTGTTTATGTGTGTGTCTGTGTGTGTGTGTGTGTGTTTTGTTTGTTTGTTTGTTTTAATGCAGATCACATAAATGACCCAATTGTATCACATATCCTACATACGTTCTTGTTCTTGCTGGTACAACAATGTGATGCTGAAATATAGTCTAGTGGGAGGAACAGGCTGCTGGGGATAGGAGAAAATGGGGTGAGAACTTCCTGAACTAGTTACCTGCTAGGGAGAGCGTGCTGAATTATGATTTTCAGACTTAGAAATTCACCACCAACAAAATAAATTTAGTAACTGTGACTCACCAATTAAAAGTTTTTCTTGCAACATCTATTTTCCCTTCGGATTTTCTGTCCATTGGTAACTCTGAAGAAGTCTTTATCTATGGGAAAATATATCAGATATTAAAGACAATTTGCCAGAAAAGCAATTAGCATACTTTCCCAAAGGTGTTAAAATGTAAACAAGAAATTACATTACATCTTTATAATTAAAATAGCTTCTATACTTTTGATGCCTGTGAGAAAAATATTTTTTAAATCACATTTTAATTTAATTTCTCTAATATCTACAGAGTTGCCACTCCCTTTGGTGGTTTTGAGAGAGCATCAAAGCTGGTTAAATTCAAGGTACCAGATTTTAATATGCTGATGCTAAATGATCCGAGATTCATGATCCTTGCAAACCCTCTTGCTACCAGAAGATCCTTCAATAGGACTCCTAAAGGATGGACGTCTGAGAATATTCCTGTAGTATTCATCCAGCCTACAGATTCCAACACTGTTCCAGAAACAGAGGACCTGTGAGAGAAGCTGCACTCTATATCATACAAAATGCTGAAAGCTGCACATCCATGTGTTTTTGGTCCAAATACTACTAAAGGCTACTGATAATATCTTTCCCTGGCAGCTGGCATATAAGTCATAATGTCTGATGTAATGTCTCTTCTCTGGCATTTAATTTTATCTGTTAACATAACATAAATAAAGTATTCTGGCAAGTATTGGCTGCAATATTTTGTACGTGTGTTTATATATTCTTTTACTTCACTGAAAACAACAACTTTGGTAAAATCTTTGCTAGTCATTTCAGAACATGTGCATTAAGATTTAAAAAAAAAAAAAGTGACACGAATATCAACGAATTTGATTTGATAGATACGCTGATTCTGGTAGAACAACTGAAAAATGCCATGACAACGCACTCAGAGCACTCCTAGTACTGCCTGCTTGAGAAGAGCTCTGAGAAACCAACCTTTTTTTCCCCAATCCCATTTCAGCCAAAGTTATGTTCATCATTCATTACTTCGGTGACAGCAAGTTAAATCATTTTCTTCTTTTCCGTCTCTAACTCAGCAGCTTTAATTATGGACATCAATGTCCTTGTCATATGGATTTGTTTACGGAAAATGCAGTAAATTTGGCTATGACAAAGACTACATACTGGTATGAAAAAGTACAAAGGTATTTCCTGGATGAGTCTAGAATGTTTGTTAATCACAACTAAAAAACCTACCAATGACTGGTCATGTCAAACATACCAAATTAGTCTCATTGAGCTATGTTACCACAAATGCATTTGCTAATAGAAAGAAATTTCATAACACCTTTCCCCCTACAGCCATAATATCTTTTAGCATGTGAGTTTTCTTGTTCTTGATATGCTGGCAAACTCTGACATTTTAGAAATACAAGCATCAGTATGGATGTACTCTTACTAGATCCATAACTTCAAAGAAGGCAGGCAAAATCAGTAAAAAGGTGCTGTTCTTCAGTGTCATTTTTTAAGTTACAGCTACATACTGGTAAGAGGAAAATATAGTTTAATAATTGCTTGTTTCTAAATACTTTATGTTTGATAAGTATCCAACATCTGTAGGTTGGATATTCTAACATACAGTTTAATTTGTATGTTTTGAAATAGGAAATAGCTTCAACCAAGAGGCCACTCCCCTTTCTTATATCCTAGATGCTTCTCCAGGGCATAATTGTCTCTAAGCATGCACACAACAAACAAGAGCTTTCTGGATAACTCAGCTACCTATTTTTTCTTTAAATCAGAATATTCATAAAGTTTTGCAAGCTCTATAGTGACATGTTAATCAAATTTTAGCTCTAAATGAAACCCACAGACAATGATGATGGTAAGCAAGTAAAACAATGCTTTTTCTAGGTATTTTTCTTACTAAAAGTTTGGTGGTGTTGACCTACAAAAGTGAGTATTTCAGCAAGAATCTTGACAACTGAAAAAAAAAGAATGTTGGAATGGATTTAAAATGGAAAGACCAACAGAAAATTCTGCCTACATTCTTGTGGCTAAAATGTGTGTCTATAAAAATGGTTCCCATGCTTCAATTCTGGTTTCAAGGCAGGTAGTTGGCACAGAAAATTGACATCTATTATCTTTAAATTACTTTAAAGTAAAATATTTTTGGCTGCAAACTGCACAGCCAAATGTACAACTCATAAGCAAATTTGTAAAGGAAAAAAAAAAACAACCTCACTGACAGAACACTTCCCTAGCAGGGGATTAATTTGGGGACCTTAACTGTGCACAATGTACAATAATTATATGGAAAATGATAAAAATTATGAATTCTTCAAGCCTAAAAATGCAAAAGCTAAATAAAAAAAATATAGTGAAGAGCGATGTAAACAAGTTCTGGAGCTTGTTTTTTTAAGCTGCAATAAGGTATTATAAGCCTGATTGAATAGAAATATGAGAACATTGGTGCACAGCATATACACAGCAAGGACTATGAACAAAGGACAGAGCATATTTATTGTCTACTCTGTAAAGATAACTTATATGTGTGGATCAAGCCACCTTGCTTTGAATGCAATACACATGATGGTAACTTTCATTGCCTATATATCCAAGGATCCAGTGGAGTAGAATGGGCTCAGGAAGCTTAAGATTTTTCAGAAGCACTGAGTCTGCTATGCATGTGTTCATTTGATGGTCCAAATAACTGCGTTAGATGAGGCTAGAAATTAGTGACAGTCCTTACATCCTCAAATTCTAACCAAGACTTCAGGAATAATCTCTGATCTGGTTCCTCTAATTAAAGTCATCTACAGTTATCAATTGCAGCAGAACCCTGTTCCTCCTGCTTTACTAGCTTGACTACCATAGAGCTATCTACGTACCAGTAAACCAAATGTGCCCAGAACTACTATTTTTAAAACTGAGGCCAACTGACACAGAAGCGTGCAACCATGCTATTTAATCTTCCAATATTGGGTGGCTTTTGATGAACCACCTTTTGGGAATAGGCCTTGGACCACACTAACCTCTTGAACCATGTCTGGGAAGTGCTTAGGAGCGTGTTAATTAGCAGAAGCGAGGACTGTGCAACGTGCTAAGCATTCAGCAGCACAGAGGATCAACTGCCAGTGTCCAGGAATGTTCCCTGGCTGCATCACTCTAGATGCAGCCTTATTGTGCAAGTCCCACTGCAATAAACAAATCTCTCTGCCAAAAAAAGCAATTTCTTTGCCACAGAGGAAGATTTTTTGTTAAGGTTGGGGATTCAAAGATTTTCTAATGACTTCAGTGAGTTTCAGCACAGGCATTTACTTTGTGAGAAACTTATATGGCAATTGAAATGTATCCTACAACAACAGGAGACTAGCTTTGGGTAGAAATAATGAAGGAGTTCAAATATCAAGATTTGTATTATTTTTTTAGACAAAGATATGGCTCTGAAGTGATAAAATAAAGGGTCTTTTTAGTTATAGGTCTGGAAAGATATATACAAAACAACTGACATATCTAAATTTTCATTGGTGTTTCTAAAAGCTCCTGCAGCTAAGAAGTACAGCTAAAAAGATAAAATTAAATGGAAAAACATGAGCAACAGCTTTATACAAATGTAACAATAACAAGTATATAAGTATTTTAGAAAATATGCTTATAACAGCACATATACTTTATCGCACAACACTCATATTTGCTTCCAAAAGAGAAGGGATCTGAATGGTGTGGTGAACAGGCAGAAATGCAGTAGGGGTAAATATATAGCTTAAAAGGTCTTTGTTCCCAAAGCTTTTTTTGGCCTCATTTTTATTTACATTAAGGTAACCATTACAGCAGTATAAAAGGGACTTTAAAATTCATTTCAATGTTCTAATCAACAACGTGGTGAACTGAGGAAACAGATCTGCCATTTCCCAATCTACACAAAATACTCACTGATCACAGTGTGTAAAAATGTAGTAGCAACTTTTTTTTATTATTTAAAAAAATACCAAACACATATGCGCCTTAAACAACTTTATGGTATGAAAAGCCCAAGTTAATGGTTGTTACTGCATGAAGCATTGACAATAAATTGTTATCAGCCATAACAGTAATCAGGAGTCTGTATTTTAATCCTATACAGTTATGGCCTGAAAGCATGCTTACTGATACAATGACATCCCTACTCTCCATACTTTGTTCAGATTCAAAAAAATTATATATTCATATTTCACTTTACTTAGATGAAGTTATTAGGCCAAATTATGCCTAAATGTAAATTCTACGCTGGCAGCACTGAAATAAATTCAGAAGTACTACACACAGTAAGTGATCGGAGATTCTTGCTTGAATCCAGCAGGCTAGAGACTCTCTGATGCTAATTTCTGCTGCTGTGTTATTTGTTTATGATTGGGATAATGAATGTTTGTAAAAATGGGGTGAAAAAAAAAAAAAGAAAAAAAGATATACTCTCTCTCCCCATTTCAACAAAAATTGTAGATGATTTGTTTTCTATTAGTTGGTAACAGAAACCATCAGTACCAAGAAACAAACACTTCACATTAAGTCACTTTATTACTGTCTGCCTCCAAACTATTTGCTTATACCTAATCTTCTACTTTGGATGTATAATTTCTTAAATGCATCCACACTTCTTAGGTGCTTTAAATATGTCAGCACGCCCTCCTGTATATTCTGCACAACCAACAACTGTGGAAATGAATTAGTAGCCTATTGTCTCAAAGCACTGCAGTGTTTTCATTAGCTTAATAGGCTTTGCTTCAATCATAGCCAGGAAAAACACATTGGAGCTGGATTTCTGATCCCAGTGAAATCAAACAAGGGTTTTGGCTCTGACTTCTGTGGAGGCAGAATTTCACCATTCATTACATTTACTGCATCTCAAATCTGTATTTGTAATTGAAATTTATGCCATTACCTTAAGCTACTATGTGTTCAGCATCCGAATGGATGTTTTAGATTACAGAGCTGGGGCTGACCACGCATACAGTTGTTTGTGCATGGTACATATGATGAAGTACAAACAACACTCATCAAGCCTCAGAAATACTCCGGGAAACTGTACAGAACTGTGGAGAAAAATATGAGCAAAATATAAGAAAATATTTTCTGAGCAGGCACTAATAACCTGGAACCTACAACCATCTAATTCAGTTCTTAGATGGCATTACTAACCAGCACAAAATATTCCAGACCATCTCTGACAGGAGGAAAAAATACACTTCTTGAAATACTGTAAGAAAGTGAAGCATAAAATACTATACATATTGGGTTAGAATTTCTTAATCCGTGGTCCATAAATTGTTAGCAGTCTAGACAGAAATACCAGAAGATCCCCATATGGCTGACAGTCATGTAGTGCTGTCCCCTTCATTATTCCCAGAGGCTACATACTGTTCAAAAACAAATAAAGTACTCTAAATTATTCATACATAATATGGCAGTCACAGAGCTCTTACGTAACTGGAATGGAGAAGAGAGATGATAATAAATTAAACAGTTATAAAATACAGCCAGCATATTGATATAGTTTAAGAAACGAAAACTGAACATAAAATACTCTAACTAAAAGGAAATTAAAAAGCAGCTGAAAGGTTTTTTGTTGTTGGTGGTGGTGGTGTTTTTTTTTGTTTTTTTTTTCCCAAGAAAATTATTTTAAACAGGCTGCAGGCTGTTCAGGCTAAGTATAAACCACTACAGAGTTCTAACCCTTCCCTCCAAAAATGTCAGCATGGTAGAAGAGAGGAGCCTCAGCAAAGAAAGAGACAAAGAAAACTTCTCTGCAAGGAAACAGTAATTACACTGTCTACAAACAAATAAAGGAAGCTATGACAGAGGTCTCCACAAATGGTATGGAGAAGATGAGGAGGGGACAATAACTAAGGAACAAACTGACTCTTAAAATGATAAGGAACAAACTTTAGAATTAAACAAATGAATACTTCTTCAAGAAACGCCTAGTCGTGGAACTTGATGCTACAGGATGCTGTGGATCAAAAAGTATTAATAACTTCAAAACAGGATTAAACAAATGCCTGCTACAGATAATGGCTCCAATGTGATAGCAATTTGGGGCTTATTGTTGGAAAGTGGAAGGCTTTGTTAGAAAGATCACCCCACATTTAGCCAGTTTATTTCTATAAATATCTTCTATTAGGCACTGTCAAAGCTCAGTAATATGGAAGAAGGATCAGAGAGCCCTATGAAATACTGTCTGTCAGGCTCATGAAAATCATGTGTACTACAAAAATCATAAGTACTATGACAAATCATAGGTAGTACAACAGTACTAGCAAGTGTTGTTAGCACACAGGTTTATTCATTTACATAAAAATATCCACTATGGGAGCAGCTAGAGGAAAGCCAAGTTCCACATATGAACGAGAACACTTAAAATTAAAACAACACTTAAAAGTTAGAACCAGAGAGAGCCAGGGTTAACTTAAAACCTCCCACGCAGAGTATGGGCGCCGCAGGGAACACAAGAGCCTGACCTCAGCTACGCCTTTGGCAAGACTCCTGATCCTGTGCAGTGAGACCTCACCCTCCTGCATCCACGCTCACCATGTTCCTTCCACATGTTAAGTACACATCAGCCCACAGAATATCAAAGGCAGTTTTAGTAAGTGGTGATTATGATACAAAGTTCAACAAAAATGAATAAAAGTGAAAGGAAAGATTCACTTTACTGATTAAAACACAAGAAGAGCCTCAGGTAAAAATAGTCTGGAAAATCCAAACTTTGTATGGGGTTTGTCATGGACTGGTTTTGGGCAGAACATATAATTTATTCCTCAGCTTTCCAATTAAACAGAAATACTAATGCAGGCTATATAACTTTTTTTTTTTTCTTTTCATCTAAAACAAGAAATGTTATGATAAAAAAAAAAAGGAAGTAAACAGGTTTGTGCAAATATGCACATAATATTCCAAGTGCATAACAAATACCACAACCATTACGGGTAGAAAAACATACTGCTTTCATTTTACTGGAAATAAAAGATATAACACTACAGTGAACAGATTTTAACTGATTTAAGTAAGTATTAACAAATTAGTATTTGGTATGTTTTTAAATAAAATGATGTTAACTGTAGTTCTTAAGAAGTCCAAATAACTTCTTTCTTACAGTTCTGTTTGGCCCAAACCATCAACTAAATTCAGTACAAATTCATTTCAGATGGAAATTGTATTTCCTGTGAACAAACTATTCATCCAAAACACCTGGTGCAGCATTTGCAATACTTCCCGACTTGACAGAGACATTGTGAGACAAATTTCAGTAATGCTTTTAAGAGGCACAGGATTTTTAAATCACCATAAGAGTAAAATTAAGCCTGAATATTGCGAGCCAGCTATTCTTTCAAAAGCAAATTGAGATTAAAATATTCGACGGAGTTTGTGCAAAGAACAGCCTGAACTTTGCCAGTTCAGAGCTGGCTGTACTCATTAATGCAGGAATGCCCTCAGGCTGCTTTGTGCAGCAGGTATAACTTAGAACTGGATTTCTCTCGAGTTCTGAGGGACACGTGGACAGTCATCTTCAACATAAACACACACACTGAAAAAAAAAAAAAAGACAAGAATAAAAACAAAAAAGCTTCAAATCCCTTTCCCATTCTCAAAAGGACGGTACCCTTTTTCAAGAAAATACATCCAATTCCTCTGAAGCAGAAGACGGAAAAGAATGGAGAAGGGCTTAAAGGGACAGCGTAAGGAGCAAGGAGATCTCACATGGCACACAGAGCAGCAGGTTAGCAATTCCCACAGGAGGAAGGCTTGCAGTCATGCAGTAATCTAGGGAGTATCACTCCACTTCCTTTTCCATTGTGAAGTTCCCCTGTTGAGCCAAGTTACTCAAGCTAGGCAAAATATTAACTTTAAACAGTAGTTACTGTAGTCATTACACTCAAGATTACTGAACGATGACTACACAAGATAACTACAAATGACTATAAACAAACATTTGAGACATGACAGACTCTTCCTAGGCCGACCTATTGTACGTCAAGAACCCAAACAAGGCTTAATCCTGGCACTTAAATTCTAGCAATATGTCATTCCTCAAGTTCTTAATGAGAACATTTTGACTATTTGCTGGCAAGGAAAAAAGTAAGAACATGCTGTTCAAATAGGAAGAAGAGCAAGCTGACCAGCTACATCAAGCGTTACTGAACTATAATGGAATGTACTTAATTTCTGGCAGGATTTTGTGTGATACAAACACATTTCATTAATGCACAGTTGCTGAAGAGAAAGTGATACTACAGAGAACTCAAAATAAAAACAAAGAACTCTCCATATATTTCATTTCATGATTTTATCATTCACATGGCTACAGCTTACAAAATAGGCACAGGAACAGACAATGGGGAATTCAGAAGCCATCAGTGGGAAGGAAGCAGTGAAGCAGCTCTGCAGCACTACGGTTCTCTAAGATGGACACAGGAGCCTTGCTCTTCTAACAGGCAAGGAAAGCCACTAGCAGCACACTCTGTTCAGCACAGCGCTCATATCCATCACCTTTAACACAGTGAAGAAATCTAACAGTTCTCTCCACCTCCTCTGTCAGTCTGGTTTAGACTACGGTTACTTCCAGCTAATACATGGGACACTTCAGACCTGAGCATGCTCTAACTCCAGCGTGATGAAACACAGGACAAAACAAATTCCATGCTCTTATGTGTGTTCCTTGCACATTACAGTTCATTGTATCATGTAATGAGGATATTTTCTCTCAGCTTGCAAGGCTTTAGAGGCTTGAGCAGTTAAAAACAAAACAACAAAACAACAAAAACAAAAAAACACTTTAACTTCTAATTCATGCTCTGTTGGTGTTATTTTCTTAACAAAACATGTTTTGTTTTGTTTTTTTTTTTTCTTTTTTTTTTTTTTTCTTTTTTAAACAAGCCTCCTTTCCTTCCACATTTACTGCAACCAGTATATTCAAAGACTGTCAGGTCTTTTAGCCACATGATGTGGCTAAACTAAACAACCCAAGTTCCTTTAGACTATTGTTCACTTCTCTAATAGGCCTTTTTTTTTTTTTTCCTTACAATTCTCCTAAGTCCAATTAAATTATTGTGCACTTCAAATCTGTGCACAGTTTTAGAGCTAAAGTTTCACCAGTCACATGTACCACACGTGGCATTAGTACCTCCTTATCTGTACAAGAAATACAGGGCTGAATTTACCTATGACTGAGTTCATCTTTTCCACAGGAACATCAAACCAGTGGTGCACAGCCACCCTCTCAGTGGTTTACATATCATGCTTTCAAATTCCATCTTCCATTTGACAAGCTCTAAGTTTATATCAGAGAGCCTTTGCTATTACTCCCTGAGCATATGACCTTGTGCTTTGAGTAACTGTTTTTTATCCCATTGTATTTCTCTACTCCTCAAGGTCATCCAATTATTCTGGTAGTACACCACCCCACAGGGAATGTTTCCCAAGTTTGATGTCAACAAATTTCATTAGCAAGTTCTATTCTTTGTGCCAAGATCACTCATGAAAATATTAAACAACACCAGTTTCAATATCAATTTTTTGACAGAGCTCTAACAACTCCTCCCTGCCATTCAGTGTAACACACCACCTTTCCTTTCGGGCATTTCTTTGCCCATCTGACAACTCATTTATTATTTCCCCTCTTCTTCAGTTTAACAAGTTCATTCATCTCAAAAAGCAGTTATTGCATTACAGAAAGAAAGCAGGCATGATACATCTAGAGAAAAGACGTTTTCACCTATTTACTTGTGTGTCCTTAGCCTTTTTCTTTAATCCTCCAAAATCTGTTGTTTTTTTTTTTTTGTTTGTTTGTTTTTAAAAAAATCTTTACAAGCAGAAGATAAAAAATGTCTGTCCTCTATAAAGAAGTTATGTAGATAGCGTCCTGTCTACGTAATGCCCATGTTACAGAAAACTATTTGCAGTCAAGATGTTCATTTCAGCACTGAGCCTCACACAGAAAACCCTTCCCCTTGACTCGAGGACCTAGTAGTTCTTATGCCTCCTTCAGTCGCCCAGAAAGGAGTAGTGACATGCTGTTACACCAGAATCAATAAGCAAGGGCTACAAGTCTTTCAGGAGAAGTTAGTATTGGCCTGGCTTTTAATTTATCTGACAACACTCCCAGAACAGCAGAACATAGTACTGGACAGTTCCTAGCTCTGGGAAGGGAAGTA